TTTAGAGGGTAGGTTCCCCAGTATAATTTTGATGTTTACACATTCTAGGATGGCTAATTCGTCTGATTCACTTTTTGAAGTACACATAACTCTCGGATTTAAATCCGAAGTTTCCGCATTTTTTAAGACATGTCTACTAAAATATTCATAAAAAATGAACAATACGGAATTTAGAAATTCTGGTCAATGAAAAGTTGCGTACTGACGTGGGCTTTAATTTAAAACCAGCCCGAGCTCTATATCTCGTACTGGAACGGATTTTTGTCAATTCTTCTGAAGGCCAAAAATGACCTATAAATCAGCTGAAAATTCGGTCTAGTACGACCTATAAAGCTGAAATTTTTATCAGAAGCATATCTCACTAAGATCACTCATCCCTGAAAATTTCAGCTCAAACGGACCATTCTAAGTGGGAATTTTTTTCTGAGCGGGGGGGGGGGGTCCCCTTAAGAATATTCCATATAGAATTTCCAATAGGAGATGTTCCTTGTGAATGTAATTTAGTTAAATAATCAACAAGTTTTTTTAATTTATTATCTGTCTTTGTAACAGCATAATTATATGGATCAGTCTTTAATTGTGTTATTTCATAATTAATGCTATCAACTATTTTATCATATACATTATTTGATATTTTAGATTGACCATTTTCCCATAATGTATTTAATTCATCTTGTAATTGATATAGATCATCTAATTGTAAATCACTAAGATATTTAATACTAATATTAGCTAACTTTGTTGCATGCATTAGAATATTATGTTGAATGAAGGACGTCTAATGTTTTTATCTATATATATAAAGAAGAATGTCTGTGTGTTTGTTTGTTCGCGATCCACTCAGTCCCTGTAATAGCTAGCGTCACCAAACTTTCCATGATTCTTTTCTGGATCCTGGGAAAGGTCGACGTCCACTTTTTTTCCGAAAAAGAACCAATCGTTCGCTTGCTACAGGCTGCCTATGTAACTGACCAATAGAATTGCAGCATTTCCAAATATTCAAGTAATTGGTAGCGAAGGCCGTCTGAATGCTCATCTACTACAATTTACACGTTCCATCTATCTATATACCTGTATATATCTTAATCTATCTGAACTGTCTAAATATTTTCTACTATTTGTAGATGTAGATAAGAATACCTGTTGATCCGTTTCCTCTTTTCCTTCTCTGCCCTCTTCAATCTGTTCCTTCTCTCCCTGGACACATACACCCTGATTCGACCTGCAATGTTTGTCAATATTTCAGAAATTTAAAGATTTTTTCTTTCTTTGTTTTAATTGTGAGAGTTTTGACCCTCACTATCAATGTGAATATATTCATGTATAAACATCGGCAGGATATATAAAGACAGAAAAAGCTTGAAGGTATACGGACCCAGTCTGTAACAATTGAAGGTTCCAATGCAAAAAAATTAAGGAAAAAATCAGATTAAAATCAGTTAAAATCATACGCTTTTAATCTAATTTTCATTGATTTTTAATGAAATAATCTAAAAAGCTGAATTTCCATCGACTGTTTCACCGATTTCCGATTATAATCGATTAAAAGTGGTCACAGATAGGGATGCACCAGTACCAGTAATACTGGTTTTCGGCTCTCGACAAAAACTATTAGTTGAATGAGTCATTTTCTCAGGCATCAGTTTTTCGCCTATATTCTAGTGAAAAATTCAGTTTTGCAGCAATATGAAACCGTATACGATATTGTATACTCAACTAACTGATAATATTATAAAGAACGTTTTTCAATAGTTTTCATCGTTTTTGAAGAAAAAAATGATTTCATAGATTGATTTAGTCAGAGAGTAAAAAATGAGGATACTATGTTGAGCATACTAGCTTGTGCTTAAGTCTAATCGATGTAGAAAAAAAAATATATAGGTATTTTTAAATTTAATATAATAAATATAACACAACATATGATAAGTTAAATCAAATCATATGAAAAGAAGAAATTATATTGTTATGTTTTCTTTTTTTTTTCACATATTTTCAAATTGAATATAATTGAATTGAATATTTTGAACATAACAATGTTCATCATCAGCAATAGATGTATATGTGTACCATAATTTTGAAAATATGTGAAAAGAAAAACAAAAAAGAAAACATAACAATATAATCTCTTGTTTTTCTTGTTTTTCTTCTTTTCATATAATTTGATTTAACTTATCATATGCTGTGTTATATGTGTTACATTAAATTTTAAAATACCTGTATATTTTTTTTCTACATCGATTAGACTTAAGCACAAGCTAGTATGCTCAACATAGTATCCTCATTTTTTACTCTCTGACTAAATCAATCTATGAAATCATTTTTTTTCTTCAAAAACGATGAAAACTATTGAAAAACGTTCTTTATAATATTATCAGTTAGTTGAGTATACAATATCGTATACGGTTTCATATTACTGCAAAACTGAATTTTTCACTAGAACATAGGCGAAAAACTGATGCCTGAGACAATGATTCATTCAACTAATAGTTTTTGTCGAGAGCCGAAAACCAGTATTACTGGTGACCAGTATTTACTGGCAGACCAGTATACTGGTCCACCAGTATTACTGGTCACCAGTATACTGGTTTACCAGTATTACCAGTACCCAGTATACTGGTACTGGTGCATCCCTAGTCACAGAACATCGATTTTAATTGATTTTTTTAACCAACTTCTAATCAATTATGATCGATTTTTTTACCAAATTTTAATCCATTAGAATTGAAAATAGGTGAAATAGTCGATGGAAATCCAGCTTTTTAGATTATTTGATTAAAAACCGATGAAAATTAGATTAAAAGCGTATGATTTTAACTGATTTAGTCAAAAATTATTTGATTCTTCTGTCAATTTTTTTTACATGGATTCCATATCGTATCATACTGAAAAATGTATGTATATGAATCGTATTTCTTGCCCAAAATGATGGCGTATTTGTTATTACTTTTGCTGACTCAAATGATGATTCAATACGTAATATGATTATATACATACCATATGATTATATGATTACGTAGTCAGTTATGGTACATGCCAGAGGTCCAACCAGGCCACTAGGCCTGCCTGCCTGTCACAGGCACAGGCCACGTTTTTTAGGCCTGGCCTGTCTCTATTCTTTATAAATATAGCTTTTTTTTCAATATACATTTTTTTAAACAAATTGAAGGTAACGCTAGCGATCGGGAGAAGTATAGAATAAAGTTCTGCTTTCATGGTGATTCATCGAGGGGATGACTAATGTTCAGCTCAAATCGTAGAGTTCCTCTTCTTTATCTATTTACTCTTCATGTTCTCATTTCTCTATATTTTTTTATTATTGATTGTTGTTAAAATCTTTCTTATCGATTATTGTTGAGGTATTTATTATTGAGTGTAAAAGGCTCTATTGTTTTCGTTAAACTTATGTTTTAGCATTTCAATTATCTTTCTTCGTGAAATGGGTGATATTGATCTTTCATCTGCCATCTCTAGTGATGATTCTTCACCTCGTTCAAAAGTAAGACAAACTAGATGTTTCTATTCTATCATCGTGATGGTCAAGGTGTGCGTGTGACACCTATCCTCACAATATTCGAAAAATTGTCTTGCATTGTATTTCACAAAATGAGACTTATCCTATGTAAAGCACGACTGTATAAGTTAACCTCGGTGTTGTCAGATGTCAAACTCGTGAATCCAGAATTAAAATCTCAAAATCCTGCAAAACTCAGCAAAATCTCAAAACATTTCAGAGAAACCTAGAAATCCGAAAAAAGTCTTGATAGATCCTTCAAAAACCCAAAAATTTAGAAAAAATTCTGAAAATTCAGAAAGAACTGTTAGATGGCGTCAACTCTCAGATAATATCTCTTTCTTCCTGTCATCGTTGTGACGTTATCGTATATATGTATATTCCATCTATCTTCTTTCGTTCTGTCGTTATGCATGAATGGATATATGTTCACTGCTCTAGTATACTCCAGCGTATTCGTTTCTCTCTATTGTTCTCAGTAGTATTCTCGTGTGAGTTCTGGAACTTCTAGAATATTCATTTTGTTCTAAACCCATATATATATACTTCTCTGTTCTCAACAATAAACTGGATTGTACATACACGTTAACATAGCCTTCTCTCTGACTTGCAATTGGTTAGCGGTTGACAACCTTTTACATGTTTCGGAATTTGATGTTTCAGTAGTGCATCGGAATCATTAACTACAGCTCAATAATCTCTGTGAGTCCGATGCTAAAAGGCTTAGCTCATTACGTGTTATGAAGATTATACTAAGTATTTTCGACATATTTTTGACGAAAAAGTCGCTTTTTTTCAGATTTTTTTTCTGAAAAAACTCATCTTCTAACCCTTTTAGAAGGCTTGAATTTTAATAAAATCTTGTTGACAGACTCCAAAAGACTGTACCAGAAAAATTCGGCATTTATAGTTCGACGTAGTTTTGCCACCTCTTTTAAATGGTGAAAACCGCTGATCTTTATCTAGTTCCCATCAAAAATTATTGTAAAAGTACTCACCCTTCTTTTATTTTGAAATGGATAATAAATGTTTTGCAAAAAACTTTTTAACGCAAATTAAACGACTGCAGGTTATGGAATTCTGTTAACCTGTAACCTACCCTGTAGTTTTTTTTAATATTATATATATCCTGCCCTGTCTTGCGCGAATTTTCTTGCATAACTAAATACACAGTTGTTTCAGAAAATATGGAAACTAGAACTAACAAATCGTTACTTCCTATACTAGAAATATATGTAAATAATATGATCTATCTCAAAATCTCTTTTCTTACTCTTTATTATCGTATAAACATGCTGGCGAAACGCTTCTATGACAGGTTAGTGGACAATGATCCCAGTAACCTGTAACTTGCCCTGTAAAAAATGATGTAACCTAATCCTGCAATACTCTGGCGTAAGCTACTTCACAAGATCGAAAAAGATATTTGTAAAAAAAGTCATATAAACAAGAGAATTCAACATTATGTGAGCATTTTTACTGAAAATAAAAATTATAGTATATTTTTCTAAACCTTCACAAGAGCCAAATTATTCATTGTAGCTATAAGTGAAGAGGTAACCTATATCAGCACCCAAAATTCCCATGCAAATCAATATTTTACGCTTCTGTGGCAATGTTCTTTTAAAAACTCGAGTCAGTCACCAATGCTCCGCTTACAACAATTTTCAGATTTGATTGGAATTATCAATGCCTTGCAGTTCTTCAAGTAGTTTACAGTTGAAGTAGTATATTTCTTTGGCAAGACATCTACAACATTTATCATAATTGTGTTCTGTGCAACGCCATGATGGTACTTCAAATGTAAAATGTGTGTAACATTTATCGCAGGCGTAACCATGCTCTTTACGTTCACATAATGTAAGTTCGTGATCGTGCAAACATTTGAAAATTTTTGTTGCTTTCACAACCGCTTGAGCAGACAATAAAATATCAATAATTCTTTTATCAAATGGTTGCGGTTCAAGAGCATCAGGCTCAGCAATGAGCTTAAGAGTAAAAAGATCATGGATAGGGTCTGTATATTCTAAATCAGTCAATGATTTGTTACGATACTTAGAAGCGAGAATTTCATAAATATCCGCGATTTTGTTGTAGCACATAGATATTTTTTTATTCGTGCTTGCAGCCACATTTCCATAATAAGGTTTATTTGCGTCCATGGTCACATGAAGATATCTTCTATCATATTCTATTGCTTTCAATAAAGAGTCTATTGCCAAATTAAACTGATCAGTCACAACATAAGCATCGGCCACTTGTTTAGAAAATGAACTTAGAAGATCGATCAACAAAGCATTCGATGTGTCACTTGGTATGCTTGCGAGCGCTTTTTCGTAATGTTCAATAGCTGCTGAGTGAGACTCTTTGTTACTTATTGTGACATAAATTTTTGCCATGGAACCATAGCACTTTGCAATGATCTTATGTTCTTTTGGTGCGTAATAGGACAAAATATCAATAGATTTACGATAACATTCCAATGCTAAATCAATTCTATTGAAACTGAAAATTTTCTTATACTCAAGAATACTATTTCCGATAGAATAATATTCACGAGCGATTTCATTGTAATATTTCGAAAGGTAATGTGCACTACTGAAATCAACGAATTTTTTCCAGTATATTATATGTGCTGAATCATCGTTTCCGTATAGTACATTACTGCTTGCCAGAGCTATCTCATGATAAAGAGACATTGAACTCTTGATATAATTCAGTTTTTTTATTTCCATTATTTTGTCGTAAATGGCTATAGCAACATCGAAATTACATTGAATTCGATGCCACTTTGCGATTTCCTTTGTAGGAATAATTGGAAATTCCCTAATCATATCATATTGATCCAGACGAAACGAACCGATATCAAGAGCTGCTTTTGTATATGATTGGAGTGCAGGTTCAAACGAGCCATATGCTTCGTAGATTTCTCCTATATGATTGAGAATGGTAGCCTTCAGTCCTTTGCTTCTTTTATCAGAAATAGAAGGGCATTGTTCGAGTGCTTTATTCTGATCAGCAAGTAACTTCTCCTGATCAGCAAATACCAGCTTATGATTTTCTTGAAGGAATGCATTCCAACCGAGGCCAGAATAACAGGCACATTTACATATTGGATCATCAGTTGAATAATCAAGTAATAAAATATTATAGTATAGTGAACTTAGCCTCGGAGAATAACACCGACGAATAAGATGTCCGGTTTCTATAATTTGAGTAGCAAACGATAACTCAAGTAAATGTCTGCAGTCAAGTTGATCAAGTTTATGCAGTAGACGTTGATCGTTTTCATCGACTAGACTCAAATTGATAACCCACACACCCTTTGTATCATCATAGATTATGTTCTCGATCAGAAATATTGAACACATCATAAATAAAACTTCATCTTCATCTTTATATGTACTGTGACGACTAATGTAGGCGAATGGAGTATGTTTTGCTTTCATATCGATAGTAATTGTAAATAGAACGAATATACATTCCGATTTATAACCACCGAGATGCGACCCAGTAAACATTAATGCCACTTCAGGAACAGTTGAGGCAGATAAAAAGCTTTTAACAATAATAAACTCATTTAACGATAGCATTAGTTGATCTAATTCATTGCAATCCATTCGTTGTCCACGATAAAATTGTACAACGGATGTGAAAGACGGAGAAAGCTCTTTTTCATCGATTAATTTTTTATGCTCTTCTTCAAGTGATTTGCAAATATCGACGATAAAAAAATGACACATAAATATGAGTTCAATATTCATGACTCGAAGAGATTTGTTGATTAATCGGAACAGAAAAGAATTTCGCGTATAAAAGTTAAGTGCTTTGCCGCTATCGTAAGAATGTTCAATTTCTTCAAGATGCGTTAGTATTGTTTTATTTCCATTGTAACATGATCTGCACTTATTAACAAATATTTTGCGTGCTTTTTCTTGATTATACTCTAATTGAATCAAAACTTTACTGAAAATTTTAGCCAACAAATCTCTATCTGAATATATTATTATTGTGCTTTCGTCGTTTAGGGATGGGCTGATATTTTGTTGTTGGATATTATTTTGTAAATGCTTAAACAAGTGTTTGATATTTTTATGAACACTCATGATCTATCAAGATAATAATAGGATATAATTGCAAGTTTATCATAATTAAGTATGCCATCTTACTTTGGTGTAAGAGTATAGTCTGGCGTTTTCTGTGCTATTATGTAGATCGTAAATATAAATTGAGTCTAATTGTCTCAAATCATGAATGTGGGGTATGATATTTAAGGCGAATTCCATGGAAACAATGACAACAAATTCAATATTCTTATGTGCTCGAATAAATTCGACACAATCATTAATTTTTGTACCTTCGTACGTTTGAGCCCTATCAAATCTGTTAGATAAACTAAGATATAATACTTCATTTTCTTGGAACTCGCAGCCAGAAAAAATCCAAATGACTGCTGAAGTTTGCTGATTTAGCCAATCAAGTATCAAATGATTTGAATTGTTGCTGTTTTCATTCACAGGCAAATCACACGAATTCATTATGCGTTTTTCCATTTTGATAAACAATTAACTGGAATAAAGAGAGGATAAGGTTAAATAATAGTATAATGCAGTGAGATGGCAATTTCCACTAACTATTTCAGCAAGCTATTTATAGAAGTTAGCGTAGTAACGCGTGTAGGTATACGGTTGCATAGACGCGAGCAATATTTAGGATCGAATATATAGTATTAGGCGTGTTAACGTTAGAGTCATAGTGAAATTTTCAAGACTTCAAAGAAGACTTTGCATAATAAGAAGACCCGAATTTGAAAACTTTTGAGGATTTTAAGCTTTTTTACTAGCAATGTGTGTGTGTGTAAGTGCCCAGAAAATCATCCTTACATCGATACTCATACCTTACGGACGCCAAGATCTAGTTAATCCGAACTAAGACTTTCGTAAAGCCGATTCTTCAGTGGTATTAGAAACAGTTTGGAATGCTCTTGAATCTGGCAAGAAGAAAACTTGCCGTCAAACTTTGTTTGATGCATCCGGGTCTGACATATTATAAAATAAGAATCAGTAGAAGTTAGACTAACCCTGATAAAGCTTTATCAGGCGTATGCTACCATTATGTTACTCGAACTTTGAAACATATGTGATCGGCAAGAATCCATCGCTAAACACTTCTGGATATTCTTTAAATAATGCGATTTCTCCGTAGGACACTATATGTTATGGAGGAAAACGGATCATAAGATCCAGTAGGATCCACAGGAATCATAGAATCCAACAGGATCCAATAGAATCCACGAAAATAAAGCAAAAACACGACAAATTATGCCAAAAATTTTGATATGGAAGAAAAAGTCAATTGAGAATATTGATGTGTTGATGAGTTTCCAAAGATTCTGTTAGATTTTTCGGATTTGGGGGATGCACCAGAATCTACGCTTCTATATTGGCTGTAGATTTTTGTAAAGTTCACCACTTTCCACTGAATTATTATAGACTCGGATGAATTTAGTAGATTGCAGTAAGTTCTAATAAGTTTCCATTTATTCTGATAAATCTATTGTACAGCCTGTTAGGTTCACTAAGATTCAAGGGGCCAGGATTCACTTTTTTCTCCAGTGCTATAGTATTTTTGTTACATAACAATTTGATTAATATCATTTGATCAGAACCTAAGTATTATTCAGTAAACTTATAGAATCGATCGCCCGAGTAGAAAAATAGTCTATCAGATAAATTACTGGAGTAGACGGTCATTATTGTATATGATGTTGACTGAAGAAAGAAAGAGATGTTTTCAACAGAAACAGTGTAATTAAACGAGAAAATTTAGTCTTTTTTCTTCATTTGTCGTACAGACTTGATTTCCATCACGATCAAGAATAAATCAGATTAAAAAAGAAGGACATTGAATTGACCATCTTGACAATGAGAATCAAAGTTTCAGTTTGTCTTAATTCTTCTTTAAAGAGATTCTGATCGATTTTGATGCAGATATAGCAAGAGAGAAACAGCGATTTTTAGTTCAGTGACTCAAAATGAGTTAATGGGACTTTTGTGATTTAAAGTGAGGTCATGTGAGTTACGATGAGTTTATGGGGTTCTAATGTATGCAGATGACTCTTTTTCATAAATGTACTGTTAGGATTATTTGCGATTGTTATCTTTAATGCAACAAAAAGTTAAAATCTAGAATGCTTTCTTTCGGTTTATTATGACTGTTAATAACATCATAGCTGGAACAACAAGTCAGTACACGAGGAGCCGCTATGGCTGAATGGTTAAGATGTTTGACACACATCGACAAGATAGTGTGCTCGAACCTCTGCTCCATCAGTCATAGAATGATCTTGGACAAGTCACTAGCGGCTGTTTTATCTCGGACCACCCATCCGATAAACAAATTGGCTATGTTGTTGATATACACTAAATGATCATTGTGACTAGTATGTGATTAGTCAGTATGTATGGGGAGCTTCAGAAATTAAGCGAAAGAAACTCTGAGTCAGACCAGCCTTCTGTCCAGAGCTAAATTTAGTAATAGATGTAGGGAAAATATCGAGCTTCTCGAAACTATCCTTGGTTAGCACCCTATACTGCAAGGTAGCCGAAAGGCGGAGTATTCTTCTTCAGTATACGAGGAAAAGATAATGATAAATGTCATAATTAAGAGTTACTTTGTTTATAATGAATACTTTTAGATCAAAACATACATATATATTATATAAATATATATAAATGAGAACCTGCGTTGTTCTTGCACATCTGTTTAACAAGATCTATTTATTATCACTACAAGGTCGATACATGTTAGCGCATTATCTGAAACAGGTATATTAAGACTTACCATTTATTTTTTCTTATAACAGAAAAACAATAAATAGTATTTCATGGGTTTCGACCCCCTTATAACTCTATTGTGTATCTTGCCGGTAGTTGAAGACGAGTGAATTTTCAATATACATTTGTAAAGAATAGCACATCCATTATCATCGTAAGAGAAATTGTACTGAATTCATCCCAACTCGAAGAAAATAGTGCAGTAATAAAAATATCAAGAAAATTTGACTAAAGTCATTTTCGTCCTTTGTGAGCTATATCTTCCTGAAGATGAAAGTGAAGTTTCTGGAATTTTCAGTGTATATTGGATCGAGTTTGATCTATCACCTATAGAAGTTTTGTTCATTTTAATTAGATGTAACTTATTGTCCACATACTAACCGTTATGCGACGCCATTTATGGAGATGTTACAGTGCCTAATATTTCAAGAATAATGGTCTTTTTGCTTGAACCAAAATAAACAAAATTTAATGAAAAATAGTTTTAACTGAATTCTATCGACACCGAAAATTTAAGAATCTTTCTCTTTTCCATCACGAAGATATAACTCATCAACGACGAAAAAATAAAATTCAACAATAATTGATCACGCCAAAAACATGACCTTGATAAAATGTTTTCAATATTTGTACTAATGTAGTATTTTCTTTGAGTTTGTACATACTGAATCCAACTTCTCTTACAATGGAAGTTCGTGTACTTTATGTTAAGAATATTGGTCATACTTGGATTAAAAAAATACTTTCATTGTCAAACTGAATATTTACAAATATGAGTTGCCTATGGCGTACACGGACGGAGATTTTTGAATTTCAAAATAGTTATAGTCTGCCATGTGCCCACACGAAAAAAATGCGTCAGTATTCAATTTTCTGTTTTCGTCACGGCTGGGCAAAAGATGACAAGTCGCATAAGAAAAAGCAATAACACAGATATTAGAAAGTCAATTCTACGAAGTGTACGATACCATCATTTTGAAAGGTAATGATGATACACATAAATATCTGACAGCTGACAAATTGCTTTTTAATATATGTGTTATTGATTTTTCTGATGTAACTCGTCTCTCTCTAACCAGTGATGATGAAAAAAGAAAATTGAATGCTAGCGCAATTTTTCAATATGCATACATTACAGACTGCATATATTTTAAAACTCGCATATCTCAGTCTTTCTATATCATGCGAAGCTCATACTTTTAATGACTCAGTATGACAGTGAGAGCATTCATTTGATACCAATATGATGAATACGTTTAACTTATAGTTACACAATCATCCATTATCAGATGATAGTTTATGTGCTGTTCTTTTGAAACATATATTGAATATGTATCAATCTACAAATACGAACAAGATGCAAAAAGAGCGACAAGGAAGCAGAAACTTATGAAACATTCTATATATATCAACCAAGATATATTCTTGCGCAAATATGCGAATAAAAAGTAGCAGTCCCCTCAAACAAGTGAAAATATATTTTCTGTTTTTGAAAACAACGAAGCTAGTAGATATGTTGCATTTTGAATCGATCTATTTTTTCTCTAATACTCAAACTAAACATGTATAGAACAAAAGATCGAAATATAGGGGAATAAGGCTAATTATTTGGTGGATTCTTGCTGTATCTGAGGAACAAAATCATGGATCTGAATGGCTTGAACTGATGAATTACTGTAAATTAATTTTTCCAGACATTAAGTTCCTTTATTGTTGACAAATTTGGAAAAGTTTGAAAGTCGAACATGGTTTTTATATGCACTGAATTGCTAATACTGCCTCTGACTTGATATCATCATTTGATTCCTCAATATAGCTCTGTCAGTCGTAAAATCAAGAATAAAATATATACTATCATCAGACTTTGTTACGATAGAAATACGTCACTTAAAAAACTATGCGAGAGAAATCAGAATGTGAACAGTTTCGATTTCGCCGTTTCCGCTAGATACATGATGTGAGCAGAATTCTTCCTGTTGCTAAACGGACAGAAAAAAAATTCGTAACATATATTACTTTTATTCAAGTCACATGTTCAATAACTTAATTGAAAATAATAAGCACATTCTTCGTTCCACGATTTAAAATGAATGTTCAACGAATCCTTAGAAACATAGAGTTTCTTATTTTTCTTAATCATATAGAAAATTATAGAAAATTAGCCCTCAAAAATATCAACTTTGATTCTAGGGTGTAAGTGTGTGTCAGCGAATGCAAGAACCATACCCGCACTCACAAACATCCCCACCCACACACCGACATCCGCCACCCGTACCCACACCCAAAACACTCGATAATATTTGCAAATTCGTTTTTATTAATTATATAATCATGTATAAATTCTTGTAAAATCATAAGAATTTTTATTAATCGTATTGCTTTCGAAAATACATGACAAGCATTATTCAATCACATAAAAAATTTCAAAATCAGCTTTTCCACCATGTATCACGACTTTTGCCAAGGAAGTTTTGAATAGTCGTCCTCCAAATTCCGTCTGAAGATTTCATTCAACTATCATAATAATTATTAATATTATCGATGGATAGATTTCACATTCGATAATACACTATCATTAAGATAATAAACAGAATCCAACCGATGACTCCTACAATCGTAAGGGTAATATTGGAAATCAATGCCAATTTACTCATTCATCTAGTTCCAGAATAATCATTCATTTTTTTTCCTACTTCGACAAATTACCGAAAAGATTAGTGGAATCAAACTGAGCAGACCACAAGCAAAAATCAAATTTTATATTGACCAGCATAACCACTCATGAATTTATCAAATTTCATGTCCTTGTTGCTGACAGACCTACTGTTGTCTATAAATAGATGGTTGCTGGTAACTTGCTGCTTGAGGATAGTTGTGGGTTTGCCCGTGAGTATTCAATTTACTGACACCCACACTCACCCACACGCACACCCACACCCACACCCACACCCTCTTCATCTTTGTAATTTCATAGCTCTTGATGATGGGTATTGATGCTGAAAAATGGAGTTGTGATTCTGAGTTATACAGTAGAGAATGAAGATAAACAAGATTCCAGAAGAGCATTTACATGGCCACCAACTGTTAATATTCCGGATTTTTCATAATAAATTTATGATTTTCACTTAAAGGCATTTATACAGTTTTGTTCATAATTAAATTCTCTATCGAATAACATGTCAAGCCATGTGTCTAATCTTTTTAAAATGAATGGTCTTTTCAACCTTATCAGTCCTAAAAGCGTCTGTCTATATCACTAAGCACCAAAGTAAGCCAAATGATTAATCGATCAGGCTGAAACTTATAAGAATTACTACTAAGTGTGGGGTCTATAAATGCTGAAAGTTTCATGTGAAATTACCTTGGACTTACTATTTAAGCTAAACTGAATTGAGAAGGTTTCCCTTCCTTTGTATAGTTATCGAATGTCTGATAAAATAAATCCACAACATAGGTACAAATATTTCTGTATTCATGTTCGTTCATCAATAAACTTCTGCACTAGCAAGCACCACACTGGTTGTTGACAACAAGTAAAAGTCTATCGAATGATCGATTAGTAGGTATTGGGAGAAAAAAAATGACAGATTTTTGGTTAGAAACAGTCTTTTGTTGTTCTATTCAGTATTATGAAATATTTTTGATGCTCATTCTTATTAGAAACTGAGTTTTTTTTACATCATGTGTGTGTTTGAAGTCTATCGTCGTGTTTATTATTGAAAATAAAGTTGGTGATTGTGAATCACTTTCATATGATTCAACTAAGTTTCAGCACCAAAAAGGTGCTGAGGTGCCGAGAAGGTGCTGAGGTGCTGGGGATTCCAAATCTGCACTTTCCCCCTTGAGTAAGAATTTAATTAATATGAATAATTACGTTAGAAAATCCAAATAAATAAATTCATATATTCAGAGTGAACATGTTCTTTCATTTATTCCACCTGATGGCAATTTTCGATTAATTTCTTATCATATTGCAACACAAAAGTAAGTTTATAGAAATATATATTTATATATAAACATTATCCTTTGATGTGTACAATTAATTGATATAAAGAAAATTATAGATCAACTCCATAGCCAGGATATCGTGGGTGATAGGACAGCATCCTACGATCTTAGCGAAAACCACTAGAGTGTAGTGTCTATGATGGTAGGGTAACACCCGGTCTAATTGGTTACATCATTGCCAGAATCAATCAAAAAAAATCGCAAACACAATGAATTTGAGTTGTTTTTAAGTTTTCTTTCAATATCTTATCAAAGCGAACGTTTTCTTGGATTGCCATGAAAAGAAGAAAAAAAACGATATAAGAAAACATTTATAAAAATAACAGAATTGTCAAGTTGTTTTATTCATATCGAACTGAACTCGAACATTGAATTTAATGCATAACCTAATAGGATGTATTTATCTATTCTTTGTTTACTGATCAACTTTTTTTCCAAATTTTGATAGATAAAAAGAAAAAAAGTTTTAATGTTCAAAGTAATTAACAAGAAAATTGATTATAGAGTATCATTAAGATTATTTCAATTAAAGTAATATGAATAAAATTCTATGCTCAGAATATTTTCATAACCAAATTATCTCCAAATGATGAATATAACGAGTAATCCATAAAGAATGACTCTCCAAGTATTTTCCAAATATCTTTTTCGATGCATTTACTTGAATTTTATTTCAAGAGATAGCTCATAAGATTCTCAAGAAAATTCCATTAGAAGAATTCTTCGTAAAATATAATGTGAGTTCCATAAAATTCAAGTGAGAAAGCATTAACAACTGAGAGCAATATTTACAAGACACTTTTTAATGGTACCACCCGTTACTATTGTAATCAAATTTCGTTGTTATATTTCTTTCAGTACTATATGTATGCCAATTTATGTAAAACATCATATACAATATCGTGAAGATAGTTCAGGACGATTTGAATTGACTGTTGGACCAAAACAAACAATGGGCAAATATCTGTTTGTATTTATTTCTTTATGTCATATATATATATATATTCGATTATAATTTATTTTTCTTCTCAGTTTGAAAATGTTATTATTGAATGTACAATGCCAAAAAGTGTACTCAAAATTGTATATTAACACCATCTCAAGGTAAATCAATATTTGATCCTATAAAAAAAATTCTTGTTTGGAATATTGGTACAATCGAAACTAAGACACAAAATATAGCACATTTACCAACAATACGTGCTAATATTATTCTAGTAACTGGTCAACCAATACCTGAATCAAATCCAATATTAAATGTTTCTTTTCAAATTAATCAATTAGCTATATCAGGAATACGAGTACAACGTGTTGATATGTATGGAGAAACATATTAAACCATTTAAAGGAGTTAAATATATTACAACAGTAAAAAAAGGTCGCTTTCAAATTCGAACACAAAAATTCATTTTTTTCTTTTATTGTCTTGAAGAAATAATTATTATAGTTTAATACGATATTTAAAAATATTAACATTAATTTTTTTTTTTATTATTATAGATTTTGATTAGCATAAAATAAGATGGATAAACGAGGTCGTAAACCAATGAAAGTTGATTCCAATACACAATTAGAAAAGAGTCGTGAAAGTACTCGACAATGTCGTCGTAGAAAAAAACTTCGTTATGAATATTTAGAAGAACTTGTTATTGATCGAGAAAAAGCAATTATTAAATTACATGAAGAATTACAACGTCTTCGTTCAGTTTGTCAACAAATAGATCAACATATGGAATAACAAATGAAATGTACAAGAGAAGAATATACCAAGGATGTCCTTCCAAAGTACATACAAAACGGAAAAGGATATTACGGCTATTTCTTTTATGGCTAATATTATTGATGAGAGANTGTGTAGAAGGTTCATTGTGTCCTTTATCTATATATATATAAAGAAGAATGTCTGTGTGTTTGTTTGTTCGCGATTCACTCAGTCCCTGTAATAGCTAGCGTCACCAAACTTTCCACAATTCTTTTCTGGATTCTGGGAAGGGTCGACGTCCACTTTTTTCCGAAAAAGAATCAATTGTTCACTTGCTACAGGCTGCTTATGTAACTGACCAATAGGATTGCAGCATTTCCAAATATTCAAGTAATTGGTAGCGAAGGCGGCCGAAGGCCGTCTGAGCGCACGTGTGCTGCAATTTACACGTTCCGTCTATGTATATACCTATATTCAAATCGTAATTTCGGAACATTCAAAAGTATTGCTAGCGAAGGCGGCCGAAGGCCGTCTGAGCGCACATGTACTACAATTTACACGTTCCATCTATCTATATACCTGTATATATGTTAATCTATCTGAACTATCTGAATATCTTCTATTTATACATGTAAAGAAGAATACCTGTTGGTTCGTTTTCTCTTCCCCTTCTCTGCCTTCTTCCATTTGTTCTTTCTCTCCCTGGACACATGCACTCTCCTTCGAACTGCAATTTTTGTCAATATTTCAGAAATTTAAAAATCTTTTCTTTCTTTGTTTTAATTGTGAGAGTTTTGACCATCACTATCAATGTGAATACATGCATGTATAAATATTGGCAGGACATAAAAAGGCAGGAAAACTTGAAGGAATATGGATCCAGTCTGTAACAATTGAAGGTTCCAATGTAAAAAAATATGAAAAAAATCAAATTAAAATCATACGCTTCTAATCGATTTTCCATTGTTTTTTAATGAAATGATCTATAAAGCTAAATTTCCATCGACTGTTTCACCTATTTTCGGTTATAATCGATTAAAAGTGGTCACAGAACATCGATTTTTATTGATTTTTTTACCAACTTCTACTCAATTATGATCGTTTTGTTGCCAAATTTTAATCGATTAGAATGGAAAATAGGTGAAATAATCGATGGAAATCCAGCTTTTTAGACTATTTGATGAAAAATCGATGAAAATCGATAAAAAAAACATGATTTTAACCGATTTAATCAAAAATTATTTGATTTTTCTGTCAAAATTTTTTACGTGGATTCCATATCGTATCATACTGAAAAATGTATGTACACATATGAATCGTATTCCTTGCTCAAAATGATGACGTATTTGTTATTATTTTTGCTGACTCAAATGATGATTCAATACGTAATATGAATATACACATACCATATGATTACATGATTACGTGGTCAGTTATGGTACATGCCTTGAATATTATTTGGTTTCTTTGGTATTTGTTGTGCATTATTATGACGTATCATATTCCTTCTGACGTGTAATATGCTGTTATACGAATTTTCAAATGATGTCATGGGGTAACGCAATCGAAATACTTTCGTATTTTCTCTCGATATATATAGATGTCTTTTTTCATTGTTGTTTATTAAAGAAACTACAGTTTCATACAATATCTTCTAACGTTTCTACTTACTCCAGTAATATTACGAGATGCCACAAAAAAAAGAAGTTCTTTGGGAAGAAGCACATCAGCTTCAAGAAGAATGGCAGCTTCCCGAGGTGCCGAGACTCCAGAACAGACAAGTACTCGGCTTGGAGATCAACGCACAAGGCAAGCGGCTTCCAGAGCTGCAGAGACTCCAGAACAAACAAGTACTCGGCTTGGAGATCAACGCACAAGACAAGCGGCTTCCAGAGCTGCTGAGACTCCAGAACAAACAAGTACTCGGCTTGGAGATCAACGCACAAGACAAGCGGCTTCCAGAGCTGCTGAGACTCCAGA